CAGCCGGGAGGAGGGAGAGAGAGAGGACCCGGGAGCTCAGCCTGCAGCTCCACTGTGTCCTACTCTCGCAAGCACGAAGCGTTGCCGCTGGTAGCCATGGCAACACTCCGGATCTCCCGACAGTTCACTCTCACCACTGGGACCACAAGGGATTCCCCACGGACCACCAGGGATCGAGAAATGGCCCCCTTCCTCCTCAGTTAAGGTAAGAAGGGAGGGGGGACATAAATGTATTTTTTTTTATTTTTTTTTAAATGATAAAAAAGTCCCCCTTCCCTCCTCACCACACATTCACACATTGACCCCATACACACATTGCCCCCACACACATACACTGCCCCCCACACACATACACTGCCCCACACACACATACACTGCCCCACACACACATACACTGCCACATACACACACTGCCCCCCCATAAACACACTTCCCTCACATTCACACATACTTCCCCCACATTCACACACACTGCCCCCCACATTCACACACACTGCCCCCCACACAAACACTGCCCCCACACACACATACACTGTGCACTCATACACACATATTGCCCCACTATACACACATTGCCCCACAAACACACACATTGCACCCAATACACACATTGCTCCCCGCACACACATACACTGCCCCACACACACATTCACTCCCCACCCATACACACACTGCCCCCACACACACACATACACAGCCCCCATACACACATTGCCCCATACACACACTGCCCCCACTTACACACATTGCCCCACACACCCTACACATTCACACACTACACTCCCCCCAAACACACACACACTGAACCTTTCAGACACACTGCACCCCTCACATATTACACCACCCACACACACCACTGCTCCTATGCCCTACCACAGCCCCATTTCCCAGCAGACCCCAGGTATGTTGTCAAACTGTTCTTAAACGGTTTGACTACTTATTCTGGGAGGGGGTTCCGGCACTCCTGGCACCATAACCACTACACAGAGTTGTAGTGGTTATTGTGCATGGATTATTTCTTTAAATAATCTACAAGTACCCCTCCCGAGACCAGGCTCTGGATCCGCCATTGTCTGTAACAGCTATTCTAGTTGTCAACATTAAAGGGACACTGTAGGCACTATAACTATTTCATCAATTTTAATTGGTTATAGTGCTTGAAGTCCCTGATAATGTCCCTCCATTTAGCTTTAAACTATTTTTCGAGCAGTTTAACACTGAATAAGGGTTCCATTGCTTCCCATAATTCCACTCACACTGGAAGTTTTTGTCGTCCTGCAGGCTAGACAAGAGCCACATCCATAGAAGCCTTGGTTTTGGCTTAGGAAGTTGTTTTGAGATGTTGATGGTTTAAGGCTACTATGGACTAAAGTGCTTTTCAGATTTTTTGCTCCTCTATATATCAATCTAGGTCTTAATGGTAAATCAGATTTTAGAATCGAGACATCCTGTAAACTATGTCAATATTTCCAAATTGCCCTATTAACTTTACTATTATGTCCGTTAAAATTTCAAATGAAGGGAGCGTCATTCTTCTTCCATATTTTTTTTTCTTTATATGTTAGATTTTTTCTTGGAGTAGTTTTGACTTCCTCTAATACTAACTGTAGTTTTCCCTAATCATATCCTTTCTCCAGGAATTGTCGTTTGATCCTATCTGCCTGAATCATGTAATTGTGTTCATCTGAACAATTTCGCCGTATTCTTAAAAATTGGACCCTCGGATAATTTATTAGCCAAGGGGCATGATGGCAACTTTCTTTCTCTATGTATCCACTGGCATCAACTTTCTTAAATAAGTTTTTTGTTGTTATACAGGATTCCTGAATACTGATGTTCAAATCCAAAAAATTGATTTCTAAAGTGCTATATTGAGAGGATAAAATAATCTTCCAATCATTGTTGTTAAGATATACTAAAAAGTGTCTAAATCTACGGTCGAGCTTGTCCAAATAAAAAATGTAATCAATGAAACGGCGATAGGCCACCAAATTTGCTGTCCAAGAATGTTCCTGATATACATATTGTTCTTCCCAATAAGCCATAAATAAATTGGTGAAATTGGGAACGAATTTGGTGCCCATCGTTGTTCCATGGATTTATAGATAAATTGTGTTTTCGAACCAAAAAAAAATTATTCAGTAAAATTAAATGAATCCCTTCCAAAACATGTTAAATTTGGGAATCTTTAAAACCGGATCTAGTTAAGAAGTGTTGAACTGCTTTCAGGCTGAAATGTGTGAGCTATTATACTATAAAGGGTTTAAGGCTACATCACATGTTACCAATAGATAATCCTATTTCCATGTTACTTCCTTCAGGAGTTGTAGGATATGTATGGTATCCTTTAGATAAGCTGGATTCTTGACTACTACCAGTTGAAGTAAATTATCCAAATATTCAGAGACCTTTGCTGATATTGAATTAATGCTCTATACAATAGATCTACCTGGAGGAGTTTCCCTATTCTTGTGCACTTTAGGGAGGTGGTAAAAGACCGGAATTCTTGGGTGGGATGTGGAAAGATACCGCGCTTCACTTTCTGTTAAAATATTTTTCTCTAGACTCTTATTAATATATTTCTCAATTTTCTCTTTCACTGATTCTGTGGGATTCGTATCCAATTTCCGATATGTTGTTTGGTTTAGAAAGGATCCTCTCTGCTTCCTGTATGTATTTATCCTTGGACGGAACTACCATCCCACCCCCTTTTTCTGCAGGTTTTATAATCCTATCCTCATTTTTTCTAATTTCTCTTACTGCAAATCCTCTCTTGGTTTATTCCTTCCCCCTCTTCTCTCAGTTTCTTCTTCCTTCTTCCTCTTCTGTCTCTTTCTTCTATCGGCTTTTGGCGGTTGCCCGGGAATTCGCAGATGTTTGTTGTGTCTGTTTCAGCCTCTCTGTGGTTGTGTCCTTCTGGAAAAAAGATGCTGATTCCTGATTAGATGGTTGAGGTTGTTCTTCCACTATTTCAAACCTATTTCTGTGAGGTAAGGGAGATGTTCTAGATTCTCTTGTGAATCTTTGACGTTCATGATGCTTGGTGTCTCTTGTCTCTCTTCTTGGTCTTCTTGGGGGGCTCTGTTGAATTGCTTCACTATAACGTTTTGCATGGGGATTATGTACAGAAGACTGTGTATCATTTTGATTTTTTTATGTTCTATATCTCGAATTATGTTGGGAGTCATATCAGTCTGGACACTTCACAATTTTGTATTGGTGTTTCTTTGGTTATAGTCATGTATATATTGTTGCCTCTGGTTTGGGTATTAGATAACTCCCTTTTGTGTTGTTTTACATCTTTTCCGATGTTTGTGTTTAGTATATACATATTTATAAATATTATGGTACATAATCACCACAATAGCAATATGGTGTCTAATACTGTCTCCTTTTTCTTTTAGAAATTTGTGATTGTTTTTATTGTATGTTTCATATAATTGGACTTTAGTGAGATTTTAACTTTTACATCTAAATGGAACGCAGAACATGGCGTTGCATTCCAACAAAGGAAAGGATTGTCGCCCCTTTGACATCTAAGTGGATGCAAATCATGGCGTTGCGCTCCACTGAGGACCAGTGCAAAGAAATCCCCTGCCTCCTTGACATTAAGGAATACTTCCGTAAAAACGAACGTACGTCATTTGCTAGCACTGTAACGCATGATGCCTGATACGCTGGAATGCCCAATGCATTCCACACACGCCTGAAGTGATGGACCAGAAATAGAGTGAAAGCTAGAGATGTAAAGAGAGTCAAATTCAAAAGAAAACTATAAACAACTGAAGAGGCCCCTGTGTTGGGGTGAAACACGTTTTGGACTTATCAGTGAACCTATCATTTGGTATTCATACTGCTTTTATGTTTATTTTTTATTTTGCTTGTTTGATTTTATTATTGAATAAAAGACCCCTTGGACGAAAACCTCTGGCATCCTGTGGTATCCTATGTGTCAAAGTTGGCAAGGTTCCATATAGAGGATCAGAGGAAAAAGGAGTTGGACATCCTATAAAGTGTCCATCCACACTTAACATCCGAGCCATATGATGTTAATGGTTCTTCACTTATTTATATTTCATTCTGCTCTCATAGCTCCGCCTTATGTATGTATATTTAATGTTTCCTCATTAGCCTGAACAGCAAAGAGGGGATGAGCTGTTCAAAAGTTTTGCTTAGCATACAACATTTACAACCGTTTCATGCTTAATAGAAGGATCGTGCCAGGAGTCACCAGACACTGTAACCACTTCAATGAGATGAAATAGTTTCAGTGCCTTTCGTGTCCTGTAATTCAGTTTGAAATAGAGAGTCTAACATTACATTAATCTCAGGCAAACCATGATGGATTGGTACATGTACCAATAAAAGGAATAAAAGGGATAACAGTGTTATAACATCTGACAGTATAATAATGCCTGCGTAATAACTATATAGTAAAGAATAACCAACACTATAATAATAATGTTAGGAATATTTATTTTAGAATAATAAATAATTGTATGACAGTCACATTATTACTGTATTATAAAAATAATAACTTTGCAATCAATACAGTTATATTAATTGAATTAATTGTGTAATAACAATGTAATCATGACAATGAAATTGTTACTGCATAATACAAAAAAAAAAAAAAATAGCCAGCTACAAATTGGAATATAGCAATAAAAATGAGAATAAAATTAGGATAGAATGGTCAATGGTGCTACATGATTGTCCATGTAATAATTACAATAATATTTGTGTACAATGTAGTTCTAAAATCACTGACTATAACTGTGTATTGTTCATAATGTAGACTAAGTTGTTAAATATAATAGTGTTTCATGTTTCTCGTAAACCTTGTAACTAAGGGAACTATTGATTGTATATAATGTGAGGAAGTGTGGTGTTAACTGTGTTATAACTAGGAGGGTGATATTGAAAAATGATTGATGGCTATGTGTATTAGTAAAGCTATAAAAAATGCATGTGTAATACTAGCTGTTTAATAATGACTCAGAGTAGAAAACTAGATGTGTAATAACAGCTAGGTTTATAAAATCTCACTTATGTGCTGCAAATAAATGTGTAATGACTGGATGTGTAATTATAATGTTACATTGATTAATTTTGTAATAAAATCTGTATAGGCTTAATGCTGACAGGGCAACATAAAATATATACTTACAAAGACAAAACAGGTGCTACTCTAGTTTAAAGTGGAAAATAGGACCAATGTCAAAGTGGAAACCAAAAGAATGTCTCTCAGCATTTAGCAGTGTGTACCCACTTTTGTTTTACCTTGATAAATAATCCCCAGTATATTTAATAATTATTGACTGTGTAAAACAATGTCTGTCATAATAACCTACATAGTAATATTTGTGTAATAATAGATGTGGAATAATAAATGATTGTGTACAAGTAACAGTGTAGATATAAATATGTAATAATTACTGACCATGCCCATTGCATGATCATTGCCAATCAAAATACTGTAAAGGTTGTAATGACCAAAACTAGAATAAGTACCATGTTGTAACAATGTGGTAATAATAGCTGACTGTGTATTAATATCATATGATAGTAACTGACTGTGCAATAAACACGGAATGATGATGAGTGTCTCTGTGAATTCAGATATGCAATACCCGAGTGATACCTCTGTAACAATGACAGATTGATGATGGATAGATGGATAGATGGACGCATGGATAGACAGATGTGTGGATGGACAGAGGAAAGGATGAATGGAACCACAGTTGTGTAGTTGGGCCAGCAATTCATCATGTTGGAAAGCTGTTGTGCCTTTGCGTTTTTGGACATAGGTCAGCTTCTGGGGAAAACCTTTACAGCTTTTGTGCATCATGCCACTGCCTACGGTGTAAATATAAAATGCATTTTTAAATAAATCTATACTAGTGAAAAAGTTGTTGATACATAAGTGAAAGCCTTTTTCGTCAAGGGTAGGATGAGATCCCACCCAATTTTGACATTTGTGTCCACATTATCAGGGCAACCTAAGTTGGCAATCTCTCCTTTCATTAATATGAAATGTGTAGGTATAACCTGTATTGTATGTCCATGATGTGTACAATTTAATTCCATAGCAATCCTTCTTAGATGAAATGCATTGCTTGACAAGCAATCTTCCCTTGAATATCATGAGAGCTTTATCTATACATGTGTTCTGGTCAATGGTGTAGTTTTCAGAAAATATTAAGATTTTATCAGGGGCTGTATTTTGTATAGCCTGTCATAAATACATACATATTTTGTTGTATAGTCTGTCATAGGGGTCTTATTGATGGGGGAACTGGGCACTGTTGTGAATATGGAGGAAACTAAGAAGTTGCTCTTCCATTGAACAATGATGCAAAAAGCAACTGACTCCCTAAACCCACCCTTCGATTCTCACTTCCATCCAGAGAGAACACAACTGGTTACAACTACATGTCTGTTCGTCCACCCACTGTAAAGTGTTGCAGAATTTGTTGGCGCTATATAAATAATAACATAATAATAATAATAATAATAATAATAATGAAAACAATAATAATGTGCAACATCAAATTTCAATGATGATTGAATAAGTTTGATTACAACTGTATGCTATTAAATAGGGTCAGCTAGATAATGGGACCCAGTGCAGATTTCTTCTTATTCTCACACATTCTGAACAGTAGTAATCAAAATTATTCAACCCCCATTGAAAATCAGGTTTATTGCCAAAATGTACAAACTTTCAGCTGTTTGCAATGAACAAATCAAACAAAAGTAATTGAAATAGCTCAACACAACAAATGCTGTTTCCCCAAATTCAACTGAAAATGCAATTTATAATGACTTGTCCGGTCTCAAAATCATTCAACCTTTTCATGGCAAGCATCTTTAGGGCACCATTTTGCTGTTATGACCTGCTGCATATGAGATGCATAGCCAGACACCAGCTTCTGGCAGAGATCCTGAGGAATCTTAGACCATTGCTCATGAGCAATGGTCCCCAGTTCAGTAATATTCTTGGGTTTGTGTGCTGGAACTGCCTTTCTTCAGATGATTGTCTTGTTGTAAGGTCCAATGATATCTAAGATTCAGCTTTCTCACAGACAGCATGATGTTTCCCCCAGAATTTCCAGATACTCCAATAAATCCATCTTACTGTGGAAGAATTCTCGGGTAAGAGATGATGCAGGGACACTCCAAACATTCCAGACACAGGTCAATGAAGAACAAAGGCTATTTATTGTTTTGCAGCTGCAAAATCTCAGTCAGACAATAGTCTTGGAATACCCGACTGGGCACATGTCTACAAGAGAACAAAGAATATATCCCACAAATGATGTATTTCATACCTATACAGAGAATACAAAAATTACACCTACATTACTAAAGTTACATCTAATTATTAAACTAATGCTTATCTCTTACATATGTTATCTAATAGTGGGCGTTCCTGATATTCCACACATGTGCCCTGGTCCAAGATAGTTGCACAGTAGTTTTAACCATGTGAGTACTGAACTTTTCTTAAACATCTTATAGCTTCTACCACATTACCTTTCACACACTGCAGGTTTGCAGTGCCAGAGGATGCAAATCAGCCCCAGAGCATCACCGAGTCACCACCATGCTTAACTCTAGGCAGAGTGTTCTGTTCAGTGTATTCTTGGTTCTTCTTTCTCCAGACATACTGCTTATTCATTGGGCTGAAAAGTTACAGTTTTGTTTCACCGCTGCATGGAACAGAATCCCAAAACTTCTGTGGCTTACTTATATGATTTTGAGCATAAGGGAGCTGACTTTTCTTATGCTTTCGGTCAGAAGTAGTGAATGTCTTGCAGTTCTGGCATGGAAACCTTCTGTATTTAGTACACGCCTTACTGTGCTCACTAAAACCTCAGTGCCTGTTGCCACCAAATCTTGCTGGAAGTCTTTTGCCGTCACTCGAGTATTTTATTTACAACCTGCCTTCTCAGAAAACTGGTTGCAGCCGTTTATAGCTTCCTTTTTCTGCCCAGTCAATGTTGTGTAACCACTGTTCTGTCAGCTTTGAACTTGTGAACTATGCTTCCAATGGTGTCTATAGGAACATTCAGTGCCTTTCCTATCTTTTTGTATACTGTTCCTTGTTTGTGAAGGGTAGTGATCTCTACTTTTAACTTTGTGGACCTGTCTTTTGACTTAGCCATATTTCTAACATGCAATCAAATGTGACACTCAAAGATCCCGTAGTCAGTTCAGGTATTTTAAGTGTTCCAGCTCAAACACACCTGGTGCAACTAATGAAGCCCTTGATTAGTTGCATTAGGTGTTCTTGAGACAGCACGTGTTTTGCATATTTGTGCTGTTCTGAGTTGTTGAATAATTTTGAGACTGGAGAAGTCATTGTAAGTTTAATTTTCAGTTGAATTTGGGGAAACTTCTTGAAGCATTGTGTTATGTACCGCTGTCACTGAGTACCATGCCCACTTATGCCCACTTGCTTACCCATGTTGTTTCAGATCCTCATGTCGGTGAGCTCCCTATCTAAGAGGCAATGTATTGTTTGTGGGGGCCCCTTGTTGCAAATCATGTTTGGGCTTGATTAGAAGATTGTGCGTATCCCATTCTGGATATGATATTGAAACACAAGAGGGGGGGGGGGTTGTTTGTTCCTGAAAGCTGATGTGCATTAAAGGACGACTCTAGGCACCCAGACCACTTCAGCTTAATGAAGTGGTCTGGGTGCCTGGTCCAGCTAGGGTTAACCCATTTTTTCATAAACATAGCAGTTTCAGAGAAACTGCTATGTTTATGAATGGGTTAAGCCTTCCCCTATTTCCTCTAGTGGCTGTCTCATTGACAGCCACTAGAGGCGCTTGCGTGCTTCTCACTGTGATTTTCACAGTGAGAGCACGCCAGCGTCCATAGGAAAGCATTGTAAATGCGTCCATAGGAAAGCATTGTAGCTCTTGCCGCGCGTCCGCATTCAGCCGACGGGGAGGAGAGAAGGAGGATCAGAGGAGGAGAGCTATCTGCCCAGCGCTAGAAAAAGGTAAGTTTTTACCCCTTTCCCCTTTCCAGAGCCGGGCGGGAGGGGGACCCTGAGGGTGGGGGCACCCTCAGGGCACTATAGTGGCAGGAAAAAGAGTATGTTTTCCTGGCACTATAGTGGTCCTTTAACATGTCAAAGAGGCAAACCAGACTTCCAGGCCACTTATGTGTGACTTCTCAAACAGCTCTGTTGGAGTCCCCAGCTTCAAAGAGGAACTCAGGTTGTAAGCTCTGTCCTTTCATACAATCAATTAACCCCTTTTGTAATGTTAAAATGTGTGTGTGGGGGTTTGGAACTATTGTAGACTTTTCTGGACCTGAGAGGGAACTCTAAGTCGTTTTGTAAGGCATCCGTTACACATTGCTTGATTTGTTCATTGCAAACAGCTAAAAGTATGTAATTATTGTCAATAAAGTCAATAAACCTGATTTTTAATAGATGAATAATTTTAATTACAACTGCACATGAAAATTTGGGTTTGCAAGATCCCCTGGCCCCTAAATATATCTATAAATTGTGATTGTTTCACATTGCATTTAAACTTACATTAAGTATTTATTTATGTTTTAGTTACACTAATTTACTAGTTTTAATGACGGCCAAAGTCCTTTCTTGATACTTTATTCTGTTTAACGTTTATGCAGATAAAACAGAAAATAGCATTAGGTAGAAAATATAAACATGCTTTAACCACTTAGGACCAATAACATAATAACAACATATCTTTTGTTATAATGACAGTCCTGAATGACCTCTATTCTGAAAGGGTTAACATACGAACTGAGATAAAGTACTAAACCTGGTTTCTCTCTCCAGCTGACATTCCATGGAATCTGTGCCAATAGGCACCTCCAATGACGCTTCCACTTGAATAATCACAGAGAATAAACCGCCATTCATACGCACACAGGTTAATAGAGCCATTTTCCATCGTTTCTATTTATCCAGGGTCACTCAGAGACTTGCTATTCATTAGCCAGCTTTGCTTGTGTAAATGTTAAAAGTACACAGGAGGTCATCGCTCGAGTCACAATGACATACTTATGATTGAAGGATTACTTTGCGTTTGCGTGTTTAAATGAGCACACAGCTATTCCAGTGATATTTGGCGGGCCTCTGGCATTTCAGAACGAAGACAACAAGCAAGCAGATAAGAAAGGCTGCCTCTGATATGCCAATAGCTTTTAGAGCATGGATATTAAAGGCAGATTACGGCTGACACTTTGTGATCCCAGGTGTAATGTTGCTCAGCTATGCAGAAAAGCCAGGTAATTGCTGAAAAAGGCAGGCTGGCTTTACATTAGATACAACTAGTTCTGGGGCTTATCTGTGGGATTCTATTGGCTTTAATTCAATGTAGAGATATCTGCTACTATTAAACGACACTCCGACACAACCTCCAGGAGTCAAAGCACTTTAAAATAAAGCAGTGTTATCGTAAATAGCTAACTGACAGGATAATAAGGTTTCTTGTTCATATGGGATGATATGGACGTTCACACAGACAGATGGATAGATGGACGGACATATACATGGGAGAATTGATAAATGGACAGATGGATTGACAGGCAGACAGGTGGACATATGGATGGATGAATAGACGGATATATGGGTGGATGAATGTACATATGGGTAAGTGAACGGACAGATGGGGGGATAGAAAGATGGATGGACAGACAGATCATAAAGGACAAATATACGAACAGAGAGACAAGTTTTTAATTCTATTGCTCCACTCCTGTGTATAGCATGTATATCGATGTATTTCTATATTTCTAATAAAATTAAAATGTGATTTTTTTTTCCAATTGCAGTTGAAATGGCATCAAACATCTTTCATTGCTAATATGGTCAAATTCTCAACTTTTTCCATTGTTAATTTTGTACCATACCTTTGGCAATTCACTATAATTTTGCTTTTTACTGTGTGTTTACTAGGGTGAATAAAGTATAAACATTTTTTTTAAAATGTATCATGATAGTTAAATGGTTGAATGGAGAGATAGACTGTTAAATCAGATGCATGATCATAATTGATGAGTTTTTGTTATTAACCCCGTCTATGTATAATAATGGATTCCAAATTCCTATGCATTTATTAGCTGAATCTTTTTATTCTTGTATTCTAAATTGTCCAGCTTTATTCTGGCCCAGAGACCTTTATACACGCACGTTGCACATTCCAGAGGACATGCATTGCATGCAATGGCTAACATCTCTATCTCATTCCTGGCATGGCCTGACTCTATCAGCCCTGCTTGTTCATCTGAAACTAAATGCCAAGTACACAGCACATTTGTCTTCCCTCTCCCATAGCTGTCACAGATCCCTCTCATTAATAACACATGGGTACGGTCTTTCCATCGTCCTTGTAAGTGAGGTTTCTGGGATAGGCCATATTTGTGATGGGGTCTCATGACCGATGTCCAGCATTTCAATGCTATGTGTGACTTCCATATTTCCCCTAATATTCAGGTATTAATCTTCATTGCAATTTTTTTACTAATTATGCAAACATGAATATGAGATTTTTGCAAGAAAAATCTGATTTAGATCCAAACAGATTTTTTTGTGTATTGTAGTATCTGTGAAAAGAAGGCAACTATGATTTCTTCTAAATACTTTCCTCATCATGGATACTTCCCAAATCAGTGTAAACTCAACTCAATATGTCACAGCTAAGGGTTCCTAACTTGTAATAATCTACCAAAAAATGTATCAATACCTTCTTTTTTTATTTGTTCTTTTTGGAGGCCAGAGAAATAACGTTCCTCTTTGACTGGTTGACAGATCTAGAGCATCTGTAATGTTTGCAAGAATAAATGCAACAACGTCAGCACATTACCAGCGACATTTACATAAGAGGGACTGGTTTACGATGTAAATTGCCCTGGGCTTCTGAGTTATTGGTGGCTACATTATGAATCTCAACCATAAAGACAGTGAGGATGGTAGGTGATCTTCCACTGACCAGTACCATCTCATGGACTTCTACATTAAGTATCATTGATCTATCATAGAAGCTCATTAGTACTTAAATAGTCCTTTAGAGACAAATAACAGCAATATTATAATTTACTAATTAAAGCAGCTCTTGCCACTCAAGCTTTGGCAGCTGGACCTTGTGCACTCTTTGTAGTCATTGCAAGTGTATGATGGTGTCTGTGAGAAGTATTGTTTCCCTATCTGCATGCATTATCTGCCTTGTGAACTACTCTGAACAACCAGCCAGTAACCCTGTAGTTATAATACAAGAACATTGTGAATGATGAAGGTATGCATTGTTCAGGTGCCTTAACTAATGAGTATATA